TGCTGTTCGTTGTTGTTCGCGAGGGGTTTGCTGTTCGTTGTTGTTCGCGAGGGGTTTGCTGTTCGTTGTTGTTCGCGAGGGGTTTGCTGTTCGTTGTTGTTCGCGAGGGGTTTGCTGTTTGTAGTTGTTTGTTGGTTTGTTCGGTCATTTGCTGTTCTTATCCATATTTTTGCTGCTGTTCTTAATCATTTGACGTTCTTTGTTATTTATCATACATTTCCTGTTCATATTTATTTAATATTCCTTGTCATCTGCTGTTCATATTTGCTTAATATTCGTTGCGTAGTTTGCTTTTGTTCTCATTCGTTCACTGTTCCTAGTTGGTGCATCTCCTTATTTGCTCACCATTTCGAGTCATTTGCCATACTTATTCGTTCACTCCTAGTTATTTGTGTTCTTATTTATTCACTCCTAGTTATTTGCAGCTCTTATTTGTTCACTCACTCCTTGTTGTTCACAATTCCGCGGCGCGTTCACCGAGCTCACGTCTGCCATCGCCATTCACAGGTGATTCACTTGAAGCGGTTCCAGTTCGTGAACGGCCGCTGGGTTAAGTCGCACAAGATCGTCAAGTTCCCGCCACGCGACCTTGATCCGTCGTCGTTCCTCGCTCCCCGGGCGAGGGCGCTGTCGCTGAGCCGGGCGAACACGATCGAGGAGACGCAGCTTCCCAACGGCAACGTGCACCCGCAGCCAGGTGGCGCCCTCTCTTGGATTTATTTTAGATCGGTCGAAAATGACTTTTGGTCGAATTATTTTTTTTTTAAGTTGACTGTTGTATTGACGAACTCTGGGGTGGGGTTTGTAAATTCTGCTTGAAAAACGCGTTTGTATGCTAGTAACGCCTCTGCAGTGGTGTTGCACTGAGGGAAGATATTGAGGATTCCGTCCATGCGATTTGCGTACAGGTTTGAATCTAGAAAAACCGTGACCGATGCCCCTGCACAGATGCTAACGACGCTTTCTCGTCTACTGTTGCAGACACAAGCAATTTGTTCCAGGATCAGTATTACCATTGGGTGCACCGCGGCGCCGACACGACCACACCCAACTATGACCTCTACGCGATAGCCGTGAGTATATCCGCCGCGAGCGAATTGCGTGGGATAGGTGGCGCCACGCGTCTGCTAGCCGCGACGCTGCCGCTGGGTTGAGCGCGGCGCCGTCGCCGGTACGTCTCGCTGGTTGTGTCACGCACGGGGCTGTCACGTATTTATCGACGCGCGGAATCTTACGCCTGCCTTGTGTGGTCGTCGGTATCGTGAGACACGCATCTGCCTCGCGTCTCGACCATCACATGTTTCAAGTGCGTCGCCTCCCTCACGCTGCGTCTTGGAAGAGTGTCTCGTCTCACGTCACACACTACATGTCTCGGCGTGTCTCGTCTCACGTGTCGCGTACATCTCACAGCGTCTCGTCTCACGTCTCGGCTCGCATGTCTCGGCGTTTCAGTGTCACACGGGCATCCTCGGCGGGGGCCACTACGTCTGCTACGCGAAGAATCCGAACAACAAGTGGTACTGCTACAACGACTCCAGCTGTAAGGTACGCCCCACCCTCCTGCCTGCACCACCCACGCCCCTCACAATCCCCACTCCTCTCCTTCCCCACACGCAATGATAACCAGGCTAAAACTGTTCAGCTTCTATATATTAGTCTCTTGTCCACTGGGCAATGTTCTCGCTGTGATACCGTCTCGTGACACCGTGATTTTATTCTAACTGCCACAGTCGTCGTTGCCCTCTAATCAAACCGATTGATCTAATTAACTCGAACGTGTGTTGTGACCTTCCTCTCATTCTGACGTTCACCACGACCTCGCCCTGACCTCGCCATGACCTCACCCTGACCTCGCCATGACCTCGCCATGACCTCACCCTGACCTCGCCATGACCTCACCCTGACCTCGCCATGACCTCACCCTGACCTCGCCATGACCTCACCCTGACCTCGTGCATGTCTTGCAGGAGACCACGATGGAGCAGGTGGACGGCGACTCGGCGTACATCCTGTTCTACGAGCGAGCGGGGCTCGGCTACGAGCGATACCAGCCGGACGTCTCCGGCCTGCAGCCGCAGTGCCCCGACCCCGAGAGCGACTTCGACTCGGACTACCGCAAGAACTGCTGCGTCCAGTAGCCCCCGCCGCCACCTGGTGTGGGACCGCACCCAGGCGGCGTCCCCTGGTGTCAAACTGTGCCCTGGTGGAGCGCCCTGGTGTCAAACTGCGCCCAGCTGGTGTCGAACTGCGCCCAGACAGCGCACCCTGGTGTCAAACCACACTGGAGCAGAGCCCTGTGGTGTTTATCCTCGCTGGAGTAGTGCCCCCTGGTGTCGAGCCGTACCGGAGCAGTGCCCCCTGGTCTCGATGTGGTCCACGTTGCTCATTTTTTTCCGTGGCGATCGTTCAAGTCGTGTCCTCGTGCGTCAGCTTGTGTTGTGTTGTTTTGCTTGTATATTTGTACGTAAAAGCGTATGTAATCAGCCAAAGTTGAGTTAATGAACAGGAATCAGCCGAAAAGCACAGAATCAAGTTTATTTGGGACACTGACTGGTCGAAGCAACTGTGGATCTCTCGTGGGCAAATCAGCCATTCGACAGGTGAGGGCCATGATCTGAACAACGCAGAGCCCTACCAAGAACGGGGCCTGCCGCTTGAACCTCCCGCCAATGCCCTCGCCCCTGACGCTCGGCCATGCACCTCAGTGCCATGTTCTTCAGAGACTTCATCAGATGAGCAGGTCGAGGGCGGCGCCGGGCCGACCTCGCGTACATTCGACGTGCTTCTACGAGCGAGCGGGGACGCGCTAACAGAGCGCGATACCTCATGGACGAGCGCGCGCGGGTGTTCACGTGCGTCCGCCTAGCAAGCCCCGCGACAGTGCACTGTGTTCCCAGACGAACTACGTGCTGAGCAGCGATGCTATCACTACTGCGGACTATCCCGGCAAGAACTGCTTTATACTAGCGGTCCATGTTAGCAACCCCTCTAGCCTCGCCGCCACCTGGTGATCTAGTGGAGCTCGCTACGTGGTTATAATCCCTCGAGCGGAGTCGCCCTGGATAGTCAAACTGTGGCCCTGGTGGAGCGAGCCTGTTGTGTCAAACTGCAACCCAGCTGGTGTCTGAACTGCGCCAAGGAACAGTCGTCACTCCTGGTGTCAAACCGGACACTGGATCACCCGAGACCTCTTTGTGGTGTTTTTATTACGCCTGCTGAGAGTAGTGCCACGCCCCCAAACGTGTCCGAGCCGGACGGGATTTAACCGGGAGCAGCGCCGGTCGCCTCCTGGTCTCTGTAGATGCGTGGTCGCACGTTTTTCTACACTCAATGTTTTTCCGTGGGCGATCGTGTCAGTCGTCGTCCTCCGCTGGTTTTAGCGAAGTGCGTCACAGCTTGTGTTGTGTTGTTTTGCTGTATATTTGTACGTAACACAGAGCGTATGTAATCAGCCAAAGTTGAGTTAATGAACCTGGCATGAGTAGGCAGCGAAGAATCCGTTAATTAACCAGGTGTGTGATAGTCGTGATGCGTGAAGGTTCCGGTGGCATTACGCAGGTGTGTTTGATGTGCGATACGTGAAGGATTCCGTTAATTAACCAGGTGTGTTGATGTGTGATACGCGAGCGAGCGCGAGAACCAGTGTGTTGATGTGGCGATCCGGACGAATCCCGTTAAAATTAACCAGTGTATGTGTTGATCGTGTAGATATGCCGTGAAGAATCCGTTAATTAACCAGGTGTTGTATGAGTCGTGTGATACGGTGAAGGTTCGTAAATTAACCAGGTATGTATTGAATGTTGATACGAGACCGTTAAGTTCCGTTAATTAACTACAAGTTGTGATAGACTTGTGTGACACGCGAGAAGGTGCTCCGTTAATTAAACGTCAGCTGTGTGTTGATGTAATGGGGATAACGAGACGAAGCCGTTAAATTAAACCCAGGTGTGTTTGATGTGTCTAATTTACGCGACGAAGAATCCGTGTAACTTAACCAAGTGTGTTGATTTGATCATCGTCGAAGTTCCCACTTAAATAAATGCTCAGGTCGAATAGTGTGATACGTGAAAGAATCCGTTAATTAAGGACGCAGCGATGTGCTTGATGGTGTGGATACGTTGACGAACTCCGTTAAATTAACCAGGTGTGGTTGATGTTGATAACGTGAAGGTTCCGTTAATTAAACCAGGTGTGTTGATCGTGTGAATACGTGAAGGTTCCGTTTAATTAGACCAGAGTGTGTGCATGTATGATTACGTGACGAATCTCCACGTTAATAATAACCAGCCAAAAGTGTGTTGAGTCGGTGTGATACGTGACGAATCCGTTAATTAACCAGGGTGTTGATGTGTGAACGTGACGAATCCGTTAATGTTAACCGAGTGGGTTGTGTTAATGGTGTGATTATCGAGACCGAATCCCGTTAATTAACCAAGTTTTATGTGTAATCTTGACGACCTGGATGTGGCGCGACGAATCGTTTAATTAACCAGGTGTGTTGATGTGTGATACTGACGAAGCATCAATCGCGTTAATTAACCAGGGTGTGTTGATGCTGTGAATACGTGTTAAGGTTCGGCGTGTAATCAGTTAACAACAAGGTTGTTGCATGTGTGATATCGTGAAACGAATCCGTGTAATGTAAGCGCAGGGTGTGTGATGGTGTGATAACTTATAAGAAGCCGTTCAACTTAACTTCAGGTGTGTTGAATGTGGCGGATACGAGACGAAAATGCCGTTAATTAACGGCAGGAGTGTGTTGATAACGTGTGATTACGGTGAAAGCGAATCCTTGTTAATGTAAAGCCAAGGTGTGTTGATGGTGCGAGTACCGAAAGAATCCGTTAACTTTAACCAGGACTGTTTGTTTGATGTGTGATACATTGACGAAGTTCCGTTAATGTAACAGCAGGGTTGGTGTTGATGGTTGGATACCGTGACGAATCCGTTAATTAACCCAGTGTGTTGAAGTAGATACGTGAAGGTAGGCCTGTTAATAACTAAAGCACAGAGTGTAGTTGATGTGCGCATAGACAGTCTGACGAAGTCCGTTTAATTAACCAGGGTTGTGTTGATGTGTGATACGAGAGTAATCACGTTAAATTAACGCAGGGTGTGTTGAGTATGATACGTGAAACGAATCCGTTAATTAACACAAGGATGTGGCATTGATCCGTTGATGGCGAAGTGATAACGTGAGAGGTTAAACCGAGTTAATATAACACAGGGTGTGTTGATGTGGTGAAATCAGCGTGACGAATCCGTTAATTAACCAGGTGTGTTGATGTATGATACGTGACGAAATCCGTTAATTAACCAGGGTGTGTTGATGTGTGATACGTGAAGGTTCCGTTAATTAACCAGGTGTGTGTGATTGTGGCATACGTGCACGGTTTCGGTCAATAAAGCAGCGTGCAGCACGGCACGGTCAAGAGGGGATCGCAATGTGTCGCTTGCTTTGCCGTTGCTTCATCCGCATGAGTAGGAGTCTGGCTGTACCCATGGAGCCAGCGAACATCGGCGTGACATCCATGATCGCGACGATGGCACGTTCCAAACAACGATGCGGCGTTCGTGCTGTTCACATGCGAACGTCTGTCGGTTGATAGCGGGTCGCGTTCCAATTGAAGAAGTTCGGTTTTTGTTGTTGTTGTTGTTG